GCACACTTTTTTTAATTGTAAATTTGTTATTATCAGAGCTATTATATTATAACTAATAAGTTCTCTAAAAAACCTATTTCTTTAAAGTAAACGAATTCAGTCAATTGTGTTATTAAATTTATATGAAATCCAAGTATTTCTTTACGAAAGCTCTACTTTAAAGATCTAGAAATGTTAAAAATTACTTTACAAAGTACATTTATGTTGTGTTTATATCTAATATATTTAAGCGAGCAATTCTTATATATATATATATATATATATATATATCAATATATAATCTGAATCTCAGAAACGGCTCCACCGATTTTCATGAAATTTAGTATACAAGGAAGGGGTTTCGGGGGCGATACATCGATCTAGATTAGTCTTATGTCTGGGAAAACGCGTGTTTTCGAATTTTCTTGCGGTTTTCTTTTGCATTATTACACGCAAAATATTATGTTCGATAATTTCGCACGGTCGGATATAAGCATCATAGTCAAGCGGCCAAGACGCAAGATTGAATAAGTGACCGGTCTCAAATCCCGGTACACAAAGGTATAATTTATTTTTGTTTTTTTTTTTAAGCTATTGCATAGCTTCTATCGCGGGCCTTGAGCGTGGGGATCGAATCCAGAAATTCCGTAACGAAAAAAACCTGACACCCCCCACTCCGACCGGCACAGAGGTGACACTTTTTAGTTTTTCCATCTATCGATAAATACCAGAACTTTTAATGACTTTTTGAAATATCACGCTTGTCTCTTTAGTTCAGCAACCCGCCTTTAGGTGGCATTGGTTGTATTGGAAAACTACCGTAATCAGCTGTTTGTGAGAAAGTATATAGGTGTATAGGTATTTATTATCTATGTACAACAGTGAATATCTGTACTCGTATAATTTGTGTACAAAGTGTTTTAAATATGAATAAACAAAGTGCATTTATTAATGAAGAAAGTCAAGGAAAAAAAATACTGCATTAATAAAATAAATAAATAATTATAATTGCATAAGTTGATAAAAAATGCTATGCAATAGCTTTACCGCGGCAGTCTCCGAGTGCCACATTTAATTTTTTTTTGTATTTATTCAAGTTGAATCTCGGAAAGGGCTCCAACGATTTTCACGTAATTTAACATGTTTCGGGGGCGATACATCGATCTAGATTAGTCTTATGTCTGAGAAAACGCGTGTTTTCGAGTTTTCAAGCAGTTTTCTTTTGCATTATTCCACGCAAAATATACAAAGTTTAAATATTTATTTAAGTTTTTACTTTTTTTTAAAAAGACGCAAGATTGACATGGCAATCATAGGTGTCCGGGTTCGAATCCCGGTTACAAAGGTAAAATTTATTTTGTATTTATTCAAGTTTGTAGTTTTTTTTTAAAGAAAATTGCACTTTTCAACCAAAACTACAAGCGAAGCTCAGTGGCTCAGGTACTTATAAGTAAAGTCTACAATTTACTTAAGTCTCTTCGAATGTAAATTTACTCGGTTTAAAGGTTTAAATATTTGAATATAAATTTGTATAAACTTAACGGCATACGCCATCAGTTAAAATGGCCAAATACAGTTGAGCATGATAAGTAGAGTTAGACATTTTTGTCGGCTGGGTTATGAATGTCGGCGGCCAGTTGATGACATATCAAAGGAACTTTGTATTTAAGATTCTATTTGCTCGATTAGTGTTGTTACAGCCAAACAACTTATGAGAATTTAACGTAGGTAATAATAATGCCAGAAATTACATCTAATATTAATCAAAAAATGGCTATTTATTAGCTTAATTAATATTATACATATATGATAATTTGCGAAGTGAGAGCCGTACTCGTACGCATAAATTCATTATCAAAGCTAAAAAAAATAATTAAAGTTTAGCCTCTTTTATTTTATAGGTATGTATATGATTAGCGACTCACCCTCGTCCCGCTCGGGTTCGTCCCTAGGAACGTTTTAACAGTTAATATAGATTTCTCAGAAAGGAGATATTTTCCCGCAGTAAAAAGTATCCTATATGTTGAGCCAATCAATCGCGGATATCAATCATCATGCCAAATTTTATCAAAATCTGTCGTCATTTTCTCGTGATGCATTCCCATACAGACAGACAAAAATTCTAAAAAAAAATTGATTCGGCCTCTGTATCGATAATAATGATTATTTTAATAAGATTTTAAAAAAATATTTAAAGTACAGTTTCGACTCAGTTAAAAATTTATTATATGTATAGAATAGATATATAAAATGTAAATAATATAAATTCAACAAAATTAGAATTAATTATTTTTAAATTCACTCGTCCGCCTCCATAAATTCCTTATTTACCTCATTTAAAATTGTTCTATTCTGTAGATTCAGAGAAAATTAGACGTGAGAAACGGACAAATAGGCAAGTAAATAAGTTAATTAATAAAAAATAAATAAATGAGTAATTTCCTCTTTCAATTACATTACAATCTATTCTAATATTATAAAGAGGCTTTTTTTTTTTATTTCTTGGTTTGTATCCAGAAGGCTCCGAAATTACTGAACCGATTTAAATGAAATTTGGTAAGAAGATAGTTTGAGACCCTGGAAAGGACATAGAATAGTTTTTATCCCCGAAATCATCCCTTAAGGAGGTGAAAGTTTGTATGGGGAAGCAACCTAGGGATCAACCCTAGCGAAGCGAGGGTGAGTCGCCAGTAATTGTATAAAGAAATTAAATAAATGCTAGCAACAGCAACAAATTTAGTGTTTCACACTATTCTGTCTGCCAATTAATAAAGGTCAATGTCAATTAAAAATGGTTACGCGGATAAGAACAGTAAATCTTGAAGCTATTATTTCTTACAATATAGAAATGAGTATTCAGTATAGTTATCGGTATACTTTGTAATCGAATCGTATTCTCATAATGTAACAAATATATATACATAAGTATTATAAATCTAATGTACAGACTCTATCAGCGAAGCTATATCACAATATATATATTCAATATAAAAATTGTTTGTTTTTGGTGGTAAGGTATGATAAAGTAGTGGTAGCCTAGTGGTAACGCGCTCGCTTGGGTAACCGAGTGAAGCGCGCTTAAAACCCGGGTCTCGCACCTCTGACATTTTCATGTGCGAATCATTTCCAACATGGTTACCACTTGTCTTACGGTGAAGGAAAACATCGTGTTGCAACCTCCATGTCTGAGGGAACTTAAAAGTTTTCGAAAGATGTGAAGTCCGCCAACCTGCACTTGGCCAGCGTGGTGGACTATGGCCTGATCCCCCTCGTATTGAAGGGAGGCACGTGTCTAACAGTGGGACGTTAGTTAAAAAGGGCTTAATATATATTGTTTGTTTTGTGACTGCTAAGAGTGCTGATTAAGCATAGTTTCGGTAGGTTAGTTCGGTTTACTTACCTGATATTGTGAAGAATAGAGGAGACTTAGTGGAGATTAGTAACCGGTTAAATAATCATTCAGATAATATCAGAATAATTTCATCCGAATCTGCAGCAAATATAACATGTAACGTCATTCATGACTATGACATTTCGAAGCGGAATAGGAAATGAGTTTTTTTACTTAAAATTATGAATTATGCAAAGTTATGTATCTAAGGCAATATAAATGAATGGCCTGTGATTTATTTGCATGCTATTATCATTTTTAATAAAATAATGCTTCTGTCTAGGGGTGTACAAGAATATATTGTATCCGGATGGCGGATGTTGAATACTGCTACTTAAATTTTAAAGCATATGTAAATAGGAAGAAAGTTGACACGTTTATATATAGAAAAACACAGTTTTAAAAGCTACTGTTAACATTATTACACAGTGATAGCTGTTACAAAGGTTTTGATAGAGAAGTTTGTTGCCGTCTTAATTCAACACTTACTTTTTTGAAAAGGCAGAAGTTTTATCTCGCGCGAATAAAATAACGAAATCTTATAAGTATGGCTTAAAATGGTGTTTTTAATTATATAATTAATATCCCAAAATATAAAAATATATTAGGTATTTCAAAAAATGACTTTTTATACTAATGGTTAAGGGCTTTTTCCTTTGATATACTTAAAGTTATTATAGAAATGTGTTTTTTTTATATCGACTTAATTTATTGATTCCTTGTACGATATTAGTGATAAATGTCGCTGATTTCATTAAAGTTAGAGAATTGTTGTTTTGTCAATGCTTGAGTGCATCTATACATATAATAAAATTGTAACTAAGTCGAAACTGTACATTAAATATTTTTAGGAAAATCTTATTGAAATAAACATTATTATACCGATACAGAGGCCGAATCTATAGTTTTTAGAATTTTTGTCTGTCTGTCTGTTACCGCATCACAGAAAAACCACTGGAGGGATTTTGATGAAATTTGGTGTGATAATAGCTGGCTATATGGGTCAACATATAGGATACTTTTTACTGCGGGAAAATATCTCATTTCTGAGAAATCTATACTAAACGTTAAAACGTAACTAGCGACGAACCCGAGCGGAGCGAAGGTGAATCGCTACTCGCTAGTATAATATATAATAATAAATCCATATAAATAAAAATGAATGTTTCTTTGTATGTTTGTATGCTCTTTAATACATTCAACCAATAGTGATGAAACTTTGTGGATTATTCTGCGTTTGCCCGTAAAGGTTCCTAGACCATTTTTTTGTATATTTGTTTTGCGTGCGTTCCTAAACCATTTATCCCTACAAACACAACCGAGAAAAGCGAGGGTAACTGGCTAGTTAAAACTGAATTCTCGTTCACAATACACAACCACATTCACAATTCATCTATACTTAGCACATAGCAAGTAAAACTATATTATGTAATATCTCTAAAGTATAAAATAATTAATTTTAATTATGAAAACAAAATATGTTACAAATAAAGTTAAAAGCATATTAAGTAGCTATAAAAAATTAAAGCAGGAGATGATTCACATTGAAATTAGAACGAAAATGGTATATATATGCGCTCCACTTTGAAGAATCTTCATTGGCATAGATAACCTTAAGAAAACTAAGACAATGCGGTCTCTTCTGCTGGTAAGCACACATTTTTTCAAAATTTATATATATATATATATATATATATATATATATAATTATATGATTATTTTAAAATTTAAATTAAGTACTTGTAAAATTAAGTAAAAAGTATATTCCACTTTGAGTTTAAGCAAGTACATTTTTTTTCAAAGCTCAAGGTTAAAATTTCATTTTAAATCATTTTATGTTACTGCCAGGTCGTCGGTTTGGCGGCGGTTGCGTTTGCGGCTGAAAAAGAAGTGTAAGTATATAGTAGGGCTTAACTTTTCTCCATAAAAATTCAATTTAATACTCAATATTATGAATAACATAAAAAAAACAGTAAAGTGAGCTATTGAAATATTATATAACTAGCATTGCCCGCGCGCGTTCAGATGACCAAAAACCAAATTCTTAGGTTTTACATATTAGTATACTCTTACAATGCAGTTTTTGTATTTGTTCTCAGAAATGAGATATTTTCCCGCGGTAAAAAGTATTCTACAGTGTGTTAAAAAAACCCTGTCCGATCCGTGAAGGTATTATTAGGTATCGCGATTCGATTCTATTTATGTAAAAAAAAAACAGATTCCAAGTAAAAAAAAATTACCCCGCTTAAAAATTTAAAATATTTCATACATTGTGAAACTTACATAGCAATACTGGTGACGTCATAAGGTCATGAACGCAGTTGACCTCAAAGTTCAAACTACGCTTATCAATTTGTATTTTGTAAGTAGGTAGTCTGTTATTCGATGAGGACGCCAATGCGATGGCTGTGATGGAGATGTTGTTCCATGTGACGGCCTCTACTAGTGATACAGGCTTGACAGCGTCGCAAAAGGTTATCACGGATTGTGGGCGTAAGGATTTAGCGTCGACCACACATATTCATGTCCGGCTGTTTAAAGACGCCTGTTCTATGAAAAGAACATTCATTGGTGAAAATAACCCTTTTAAAAATTCAGCGTCCTCTTCAATTTTTCCTTAAAATCCATGCACAATATTCCACTCTGGGGTTCATAATCACTGGGTAGTAAAGCTTGGACAGGACGGTAGTGGAAAGGATGCTGGCCATCTTCTTTTAACACTTCCCACACCTGAACGTGGTAAGCGCCCAGTTGTCGTGCCACAGAACGAGTACTTCGGGTGGGGTCCTCATTGAATAACACAAGCACTTGCTCTTCAATATCCATGTCGATACGCGGTGTCCTTGTATCAGCATGATGCGTTTCGTAGCCGTGAACACTGCTCGTGGTGTACATACGATTGTGAAGACGTTGAACCGCACGCTCTGACGGCACCATGGTACCCCGCGGAACTGCGAAACGCACTTCATAGTCTCTATGAGCCTCTGCATAATTGCAGTCACTCCTCCCCAAACACATTATCATATTACAGTACTCTTCATTCGTATACGACATAGTTAAAACTCAATTTCTCCAACACGTGCACTCGGATGCAATGTTTCGCGAAACTGACATAATTTTACGGCCTGTCCGCACTGCGATATTTCACCGCACGTTTTTATTCTCGCGTATTATATTCCGTGATCGAAATTGTACTTATTACGCACTGCGAATAAAATTTCGTACGATTTTTGTCAATTTGATGCAGTTCCCGACTGAGACAAACGTCTAAAATGATAAATCTACTATATCTACTGAGACATTTTAGTAATCTAAAATGATGTTTTTCTACATTAAATATCAAGAGTTGCGAAAATACAGTAAAAAGTTTTTCGGATATTACAGAATGACTACAAAATCATTCGATAAACCAATAGCGTCGGTGCACGACTGAGCGAAACGCGCGAATTTTATTTCGCAGTGCGGCCATAGCCATACATATTATATACTGTACAACACATTCGCGCGGAAATAATCCGCGCCGCATCGCGTTCAATTTGCATCAAATCACAGATTTTTTTTCCGCGCGAATTTTTAACCGCCAGTGCGGATACCCCTATAAGATTCAATGTGTTACAGAATTGCGAGAATAAAATCGTGTGGTGAAATATCGCAGTGCGGACAGGCCGTAAGTGAAATAAATAATAAAGCAAACAAATAGTGATCGTAAGTATGTAATTCAAGGTCGGGATAGCCTCTACACGTGCCGAGCGGTACCTTTGACAACGGGCGGCGCATCGTCTGTCGACACACATCAAAGATGCCGCCGCCACATGATTATAATACCGCCGAAATTAGTGTTGTACATTTATAAAATTTCCTAGAATTGTGGGGAAATTAGCAAAATAAATGAACTTTTTAAATTTCATTAATATGTTTACTATCATGAATATTTTATATTTCTTATTTTATTTGGTCATGTGATTGGGATACCTATACACTGGTTTCCGATCAGACAGGGTTTTTTTAACACACTGTATATGTTGACCCGGATAACCATCTATCACCATACCAAATTTCATCAAAATCCCTCGAGTGGTTTTTCTGTGATGCGGTAACAGATAGACAGACAAAAATTCTAAAAACTATAGATTCGGCCTCTGTATCGATAATGATGTTTATTTCAATAAGATTTTCCAAAAAATATTTAATGTACAGTATATTCACAATAACAGTATTAAATTTTTTAAAGCAAGTTAGAAAAAAGATAACATATTTTTAATGGCAATTTTAACTATTTTTCCCGTAGAGCGCCAATCAAGCCACTGCTCCAGTACTTCACCTCTACACCATCACCTACAACTTTCAACCCGTACAAGTACTACACTGCTAAGTACCAACCAGCAAAGGTTGAAAGTGCAGGTCGCTATAATCCCGGTAAATACGACCCCGGTAAATATGACCCTGGTCGTTACGACCCAGGCCGTTATGACCCAGGTCGTTACAACCCCGGGAAGTACGACTCTTCTGGACGTTACATCCCTGACAAATCTGGCCAATATAAGTAAGTTTTTATAGTCAAAAACAGGGTTTATTAGTCGTTTTTTTTTTATTTTTTTCTACAATAGCTTACATCGTTATATAATTGGAAAAAATATCCAACTCCTACTATAGATAGAACTATATATACTATAGATAGAACTATAATATTTTGTAAACATTTTTTTTAAATATCCTACAGTACCAATCGCATACACCAAAAAAACAGCGTTCTGTTACGAAAGACTTTGACGTCTCATTTGTTTTGACCAACGGCCTTGCGTTTCAATTAGGTGCTTTGAATTTCCCACCTATTTTTACACTTTTCAATAATTATTTTCTTAACTTAGAAAATATTTATGTATTTATTAAATTTGTGATAATATTTTAGTGGTGACAAAGGAGACCGTGGGGGTGCCGGGGGTTTCTATACCGGCTCATTTGATAAAGGTGGTCCTGGTGGCTTCTATGAAGGTGGTTCGGGTCCCGGTGGTCCCGGTGGTCCCGGTGGTCCCGGTAGTCCCGGTAGCCCAGGTGGCTCATTCAACAATCAAAATGGACAAAATGGTGCTGCTTTTGGAGAGTAAGTTTCAATTTTTTTTTAATTTATATGAATAAATATAAAACAGTAAATAGACCTTTACTTTAATATTTTTATTAATTTTACTATTTTTTTCAGAGTAAGTACTGTTGTGCCGGTAAGCTCTGTGGAGCCTGTGAGTGTTGCTGAAATCGCAAGCGTTGTTGAGCCAGTAAGCACTGTACCGACTTCCACCGCGGCCCCAATTGCTATTACCTCAGCCCCAAGTACTGCCGCACCTATTATCTTCACCTCTCCACCAGTATACGTAAAACCATCATCTGCTCCATTCATACCACCGGTAGCAAAAGTTATCCCTGGAAATTATGATTACAAATTCGGGCTTATCCGCTATGAAAACGACTTCGCACACCTAGAAGGCTACCACTACCTTTACGAAACTGAAAACAAAATTCTTGCTGAAGAAGAAGGACATATAGAAAAGATTGATAATGAAAGAAGTGGTATGAGGGCTAAGGGATTCTATCAATTTGTCGCTCCCAACGGAGTTACCTACAGGGTGGATTACACAGCCGACGAACGTGGTTTTATACCTAAAAGGACTCACGTGCCGTAATTATTTATTGTTATTATTATTATTTGTTATGTTTTTGAGAAAAATCTTTGTTTTGTTAAAACTTTTATTTCAAAGTTATTAGTTGTTAAATATATTGTAGTTAGGTACTTATTATTGTGTTTTATTATAAACTATTTTAATTTATTTACTACACGCCCGACTTAGTTCGCGTATACAGCGAATGGACGTAGGTATATAAAAGAAATCCTATAATTTAATATAAAATAAATCTTTATGACGTAAAAATATTTTTAGGGGAAAACCGAAGATTAAAATTTTACCGAATATCTCGTAGGAAAACTAAGGTTTAATGGAATACAAATCAGGCATTTTAAGAATTTTATCCTCTTGCCTTAATTTTTTTTATGAGATAAAAACTATCTTTACGTTAGCTTGGGTAAAAATTAACAGCATCACCAAATGCAAAGTTGAATGCTTTTCTTGCTTGAAACTGTCTCATTTTCACGTGACACATGATTTAACCGCTACACCAAAAATATATTTACATGTTTGGGTCGATAAAATTATAATTTAATTTTTGTTATTCATTTAATAGATCTTCTGATATATGTACTATAAGAGCTTTTTAATCGAATTTACATTAATTTTTTTGGCTCAGTTTGTAGTGACCCTACTTGCTGTGCCAACGGTCTCGGGTTCGAATCTCGCTGGGGGCATTCATTTGTGTGTTTATATTTATAATATGTATATATATATATATATATATATATATATATATATATATATATATATATATATATATATATATATATATATATATATATATATATATATATATTTAAAGTTATATACACTCCTTTGCAAAAAAAACGGGCACTTTTGATTTATTCGAGTACCTTTAGTATTAACAGTGGTAAAAGGGATTTAATGTAACAAAATAAAATAAATATTATTTACTGATGTAAAACACTTTTGTTTGGTAATTAAGTCGATCTTAGTTTATTTTATTTTGATTTTTAGGAAATAACTCATTTTGACAAAAAAAATAAGGTAACTTCAATTGACTTTCTCCTTTATTTAATAAAAGTTACAAACAATAAAATAAAAAATTAATATTGATTGTGGCCTTCTCTGGCTGAAATAACTGCTGCAATTCTTCGTGGCATGCTTTGGACGAGTTTTTTTATGAGTACTTGAGGAATACGCTCCCATTCGGCCGTAATAGCAATTTTAAGCTCTTGTATGTTCTGTGGGGCTGGGTGTACAGCTCTAACACGTCGTTTTAGAAGGTCCCATAGATGCTCAATGGGATTGAGGTCGGGACTTCGTGCTGTCTAATCTAAACGGCGGATCCCGACTTCACTTAAGTAAGTGTCTACGTCGCCCGCTCGGTGTGCTCGAGCGGCAGCGAGCAGCACTTCCTGTAACAGTTAACGCTGGTTGTGCATGAGGAATTAGGTATTTCGTAATGTAGCGTGGTGTATTTCGAGAGTCATTTTTTACGAAAACTAACTCTTTACAATCTTTAGAAGTTATGCCAGCCCAACAAATGACAGAGCCCTCACCGTACGGTTTAATTTCTTCAAAACATACCTCTGCATAATGTCGTCCTGGTCTTCTTAGGACTTTACGACGTCAATATTCACCAAATAAAGAGATTCTAACTTCATCAGAAAATAAAACCTTGCTGCATTCTACATCGGTCCACGTCGAACAATTTTGGGAAAATCTTAAGCTAGCAAAACGGTGCCCGAGGAGTAATTTAGGACCCCTAGCTGGTCTTCGACTGTGTATATCAACTCTAGAAGTCTCCTCCTGACAGTCCATACGCTAACACTCACATTTCTAACATCTTCAAGATTGTTTTTGATGTTATTGTAGGTAGATTTCCGATTTCGTAAATCTTGGCTCACAATATATCGATCGTCCCTGGGCTCTGTACATCGTTTCCTTCCTGATCTCGGTCTTCTTTTCAAAGAACCAGTTTCTTGAAACCTAGTCCAGGTCCTCTGAACAGTGGAACGACTGACACCAAACCGTTTCGACACATAACATTGAGTACAGCCATCTTGAAGAAGAGTCACTATATTACCAGCGATAATTATCTTGTCTGCCATATTACGGTATAAAATTTATCACGAATAACCAATTTAAACAATTTTTATCAACATCAATCCATTAAAATTACAAAAAAACCTTTTTTATTTATTTATAACACAATATCTAAAAACAAACTGCGAGCAAATGCTCAAATCGAGTAGAATATTTTTAAATAACTTTGAAATTTTGAAATTGGAACACTTTATTTTACTTGCTACTACTTTTTAATACGTAGACAATTGTCTCAAATTAATTGAATGCATATAAAACCTCTTTTGTTTAAGATTTCCATAACTGTACAGAAAAGTTTCGGGTGCCCGTTTTTTTTTGCAAATGGGTTTATTTGTAGTCTATCAACTATCTGGTATCCATAACAGATGCCTCGTAGCTTACCATGGAACTAGATGGTGTTGTGTGTTAATGCCCCAACATATTTATTATTTATTTATCAATTAATAAATTCTTTTAATACACCAATGAAAATTGTTCTTATAAAAAGAGTTCCGAAAAGAAAAATAAATGTAAAAATGAGATTTTTTTTAATTCCCTAACATAGTACATAGTACGTAGCACATAATGAGTTCAATATTAACATATACCTAGAAACATAATAATGTACATGATAAATCATATATGAGCAGTTTTAAGAAGTAACTTATGTTTCGTAAGTATTATATTTCTTTTCTCAAGGAATCTGTATACACATATAATGTTAAATAAGTGTTTACTTTGAGTAAAACTTCCAAAATTTTTATATAAAAGTTAAAAAAAAAGGAATGTTTCCTTGAGTAAAACTTGACACTTTCAACATTTAAGGTACTATTCTTCTATGTCACATTCATTTGTATATCATAGATCATATCATCATATCAGATCATCATCATATCATATCATCAGATCATAGATCAGGCGCATACTTATATTCTGAAGTTTCATATATATCACCCCTAACTTCAAGTGGACGTTTAGGTAAATTAAAAAAAAATCGTTCAATTTTTAGATAGGCCTCATTCTTTTTGTTTTGAACTCTACTTTTTGAAAAAATATTAACATTGTATGGTCGTCTTGTACAAACACCCATAAAAATTAAAAAAATTGGAGAAATCGATAATTTTTACTTTTTAAACTACATTTTTTCAATTATCATTGAAGAAGTGTTCTTTATTGGCCAAATTTTTATAAACTATTTTTTCGAATTTATTGATACTTTATTAATTTTTGATCAGTTTTGGAGTTAAATTTATTGATATTTTCTGAAAATTTTGATTTTAAGGTAATTACAGAAAGAAATGAAATTCATTAGTCTAATCAAGTTTATTCATTAGTTAAAAATATAATTAAAAAAAAATTAGTTGATATTTACAAAATTTAGTCATGATTTTGTTAAAAAATCATAAAAAACTTTTTTTTTAAATGATAAAAAAATTGATATCGGGTAAAAATAGCATATTATATAGGCTTATTAATACATTATGTAATATAATGCAGTCGGATCAGGGTCGCTACTAGATGACATTCTACAATCGCAAAAAATATATCTTAGGATTATGTCACGAGGTCAGAATTAAATTTTATACATTTCTTTGTTTTCTATTAGATATATCGATTGTTGAAACTTGAAAGATAACTTGTTTTAAGGGATCGTTAAAAAGAAATAAATTGACCACTAAAATGTTATGAATAGTAGAGTGTGTTTAGGCTCAACTACTAAAATAATTACTTCTCCTACCTAGTACGAGAATTATTCTATTACAAGTTGAGTCTTAATAAATAATAAATCTATTTTAATTGAAATTTAATATATTTATATGAAACAATCTGAAATTTCTCATTGTTAAATCACAATAGATGGCATTGATTTTGTAGACGGTCTAATTTTGTATTGGATGGGGTCTGAACGAGTATTGTGCTATCTGCTATACTAAGAAAATGTCTTGTGACTTGTGCAGTGTGAATGTCAACCAGTTATAAAAAATAGAGCTTCCGGATTCTTTTATCAAACTTAATGACCTATGAGAACAAGATTGTAAATAAAAATTAAGTGGCGGCGTTACCTTTGACATTGCAGTGCATAAAAAATACATATAAACAAATTTAAAACTAATAAAACGCTTTTTATTTTACGATCTTTACATAATATATATTTTAAATTTGAATAATTTTAAATATATTATATATATGTGCAAGTATTAAATTATTTAGCTGTGCATTAAATTTATTGCTTTATTTATATAAGGTTATAATGGGCTAATTTAACAGGTGGTGCACGTGCAAAAAATATTTTATTATTTTACAATTTATCAAGATTTTCGCAGTAGCTGTTTAACAACGATGTATTCAAATAAGGAAAAATAAAAAACAATCGGGGTGGCACTCCACATATACGAGTATATGTATATTGTATCTATACTAATATTATAAAGAGGTAAAGTTTGTGAGTTTGTAACGTTGTAGGGGGTAATTTCTGGATCTACTGAATCGATTTAGGTGAAATTTGATAAGAAGATAGAGACCCTGGGAAGGACATATGATAGTTTTTATCCCGGAAATCATTTCTTAAGTGGGTAAAAATGGGGATGAAAGTTTGTATTGGGAAGCCAGCAAAATTTAATAGTGTAAAAAAATAATAGTATAATATAAGAAAGCAGTCAAGGATAATTGACTCTCTATTTTTCTTAAGATTTATTCAAACATAAACTATAGCTTATTCAAACAGACTTTTATATAAACTTTTGGGTCATTTATACCTACATTTATATTAATAAAATTAATAGCCAAGAAACTTTATTTGTTAATTTTGTTTTCTTTATCTTGGAACAGTTCACGTAACTTTCTTTCAGCATATAGGGATTAAAGTCAATTACTCAATTTTCCACAAGAATGAACTTATATTGAAAATTCTTATTTAAGATGCATAGATTATACTAGACTTTTTCCAAGACTTAGTACATTAAGCTTAAGAGTATTTAATAATGTTTACGCGTTGGCGTTCAATTGTAAGTAATTTATTCAAGACGGAGTATAACTTGCCAGAAGCCTCCACTATTCATAGCATAAAATAAAAGATGCTCAAAGCAATAAAAGGTATTGTAATTCTATTCAAAGAAAATATTAAATACAACTTTACAGTCTTATATTTTTATATGAATAATAAACAGTTGTATATTAGTAATATCTTTGTGTCAAGTTGTTAATGGCTTAGATTTGACGACGACTCACTTGTCATGGCTACAACAAAATTAATTGTTGAACTGTCAAGGATATATTTTTTTTACGCCATGAACCATTTAATGCCATTTTAATTTATGATAATTTTAATCACAAATTTAAATGGAGCATGTTTTTATGGTGATTTTATTTGTAGTGTGATTAATCTAAATAATAGGTACTAAATGTAAGCACACAATGCTTTTTCGCATTTTCATGATCTTTAATAAATAGGCAAAGGCAAAACTGTTGAGTACCCTTTTTCTCCTCTGTTTATCCACCGATTTTGTTTTTTTTGTTAAGTTGCCATTGACGAGCTTTTTATTAAATAAAACATTTGGAAACAGATTTTTATTTTATATAGATATTAGATAGGTTAATGGCATTCATATATGTTTTTCCCTAATATCATAAAACTATTAAAATATGAGTACGAGAAAACCAAACACAACCCCCTTATAGCTTTTTATTTGGCATATTAATTCGACGCAGCTTTTTAATAGTTTCATAAAATTGTGAGATTATAAAGATTTTTGACTGACTTGTAATCAAATTGGTTTTAATTTTTATTTATTTTTGTATGTTTACTCGTACGTATGTTACATGATATCTTCATCAATTTTTTAAATCGACTTTAATCATTCTTTTTTTTGAATATGTTGAATTTCAAGGGTAGTTACATATTAATTTAAAAAAAAAACAACACCACTCCACACCCAAAACACACCACACACACAAAAGTTTTGCCAACTAAAGTTTTGGGCTGAAATGTCGAAACGTCATAGGCGGCATGACTATGAATCTGTTTAGTATGTGCTGCTTAACCCTTATAACAGAGCGATTAACGAGAGCATTAAAATTCGCAGGCGATATACTTAATTGGGTACGCAAGCAGTAAGATAAGTGAGTTCGTATGAAATATAAATTGTACATGATAGCAATTATGTTGTTGACTGAAATATATAACAAAAACAAACGGAAAAACTACGGGAACCGTACTTTTTCCGGGTTAAAAGAAACCTATGTGCTATTCCAGACCTTAATCTATTTCTGTGCCAAATTTCATCCAGAAATTTCATCCGTTCAGCCGTTTTCGTGTGATTTACTCAATCAATGGGACAAACACGTTACAAATTAATAGGATTTATGTAACTATTTATATTGGGTCTTGTTTTTAACGTTTAGCCAACGTAAACAATATCAATCTTATATATATTAGCTGTCTGTCTGTCTGATTTGTTTTTGATAGAGTAGCTAAAATTAAGTTTTTCAAATATAATGCAAATAATTTTAATTAATGTTGTTGTAACGTGGAAAGTAGGTAAAGTTGTAGTTATTGTGTGGATAATACTTAATTAAAAGAATTCTTTAGATTTAAAGATATTATTGTTAAAACTTATAAAACATGCATGCAAATATACACGAGGATACAATAATCAGTTTTATTCGCGTTGCTTTGTTAAAAGTGGCTCCACGAGATGTCATACACAAGTTAAATTATAATTATGAACTCACTAAGCTCGTGAAAGTCGTAGCTTAGTAGATGAAGTGCCTCTGTATCGCAAAACCTCCTATTGAAATGGTTTTCATCAGCGCTTGCTATTCATTTATTTTCAGGAAGTAAAAAAGCTTCGGTCTAGCTTTTCAGGTGAAATGTAATTTTATATCGCATTCAAATGACTCGACCATGGTTCGAGGATTGATAATATTATAACGGCGACCAAACTCACTAACATTTTATGTTCATTGTCATCAAATAAATATGTGTTTTAGCGTTTTTTGAAATTCATCCTATAAGGGAATAAAATAG